GAGATAGGGGTCTAGTTTCAATTTTCTGCATATGGATATCCAGTTTTCCCAGCACCATTTATTAAAGAGGCTGTCCTTTCCCCAGTGTATATTTTTGGCATCTTTGTCAAAAATCAGTTGGCTATAAATGCGTGGATTTATTTCTGGGCTCTCTATTCTATTATGTTGGCCCATTTGTCTGTTTTTTTGCTGGTATCATGCTGTTTTGGTTACTATAGCTCTATTATCCTCATTACATTTAATAATTCCTAGGTAATAGAAATTGTTACTCTCCCCCTCTCACAAATTAGGAAACTGAGGCACAGAGAGGCTATTATTTTAGTGGATTATCGTCAAAGTGCGATTATTATATTTTAAAATTGAAATTTTGTATGTTAAATTTCTAACTGGAGATGGAAATCTGATAAATGGTTTTTGAAACTTGATGGAGGTGAATCTCTTAAAAATAGAACAACGAGAGAGAAGGGGGGAGAGAGAGAGAGAGAGAGAGAGGGAGAGAGAGAATGGGATTGCTTCAGATTCCCTCCCCATCAGCAAGTATATGATGCATTAAGACAATTGAGTCTCTACAGAGTACATGCATTTTCCTCAAGAATCCCTTTGGTAGGAACAAGGAGATTCCTGCTTAATTTTAAATATCTTAAACTTAAAAGACGGCTGGCTGGCTGGTTAGCTCAGTTGGTTAGAGTGTGGTGCTGATAACTCCAAGGTCCAGGGTTTTGGTCATACTAAATTTTAGGCCGACTTTCAGATTGTGTTTGGTCATACTGAAGTCAGTTAGCGACTAATAAAGTGACTACCTGAAAAATAGATTTTGCTTCTTAGTAAGTGTGCAACCTGGAAGCATTCATCGCAATCACCTCTGAATGAGGAGCAGCCTGGTTAGGATGACTAAGTCTTAATTTTGAGAATTGCTATAACAGTTGTAAATGCCTGCCTGTCTGCTCTTACCACCTCTCTCCTCCCCATTCTTTTTTCCAGCCATTCTGAAGTATTTGTGCCATTTCAGAGGCCAGATGGTATAGTGGTTTAAGCAGGGGTATTGGGGTCAGACTGCCTGGATGAACACCTGGCTCTGCCACCTACCTAGCTGGGTGGCCTGGAGCAGGTTACTTCGCTACTTTGTGTCTCCATTTTCTCATCCATTAAGTGGAGATCATAACAGTGGTTACCTCACAGGGTGGTTGTGAGGATTAAAAGAGCTTAGAGCTCTGTGTGGCGTGTAGTAAGCACTATATAGATTTTTGCTACTACTATTCCTTGATAGGTCTGGTCTGTCTTCACCTTTGGGCTTTTATACTTTCTCTTTTCTTTCCATCATTCTTCATGGGGATGACTCTTATTTGCCCCTTAAGATACAACATAGTGTTGACCCCTTGGTTTGGGATGTTTTCATACCATGCCCCTAGCGTTTCCATCCTCTCTGTGTGTCTAGCCAACTGGCTGTGGCTTATGTCATCACCCTCATGACATAGTATTGCTACTATTGGTTCACTTGTCCACATGGACTGTGAGCATGGTCTAATTCTTATTTTTTTGGTATTTCATGAATGTTAGGGAGATACTGGGTAATTGTAATTCGAATGGATAAATGGACCAATTTTCCCTCCATTCCTCTCTCCCTCCTTTTCTATTTTCCCATTTTTCCTTCCTGCGTATCTTCCTTCCTTTCTACCAACTTTCCTCTCTCCCTTTGTCCTTTCCTTCTTGCCTAACTTCCTTCCTCCCTTTGCTCTCAAACCTGGCACTTGATGCAGTATCTTACTTACTCCTCATAGCAACCCTATGAGATAGGTATTACGATGATCCTCATTTTGTAGATGTGGAAACAAAGGACCAGGGTGATGGGCAACTTACCCATCCAAAGGGGCAGCTCTCTTGCAGATTGTTCTTCCAGTGTTGCTGTCTCTGCTCAAAGCATTTTGGCAATTTTTCTATGCAATTCCCTTCTGACCAGTTTATGAACCACTTAAGAAGACCAATCTTATATTTGGTCACTCTCAGAAAAGATAATTTTCATTCTGATCATCCTGATTCATCATGTTCACGTTCAAATAAATTTGGGTTATTTCAGAAATCCAAGCTATCTTCAAAGGACAAAGGTTTTCCATCATCAAGAATACTTAGATGACTCAAGTACAGTTGCCAAAGTACGCTCCCAAGAGGCTCAGCAGCAGTCACATCGCTGGGCTGAAGGCTGTAGATACTCCTGTGGACTTCGCTTTGATGTGGTTTAGGGATGAGGGCAAGTGGAGGAAGGTAATATTATTTAATAGTCCCACCTCATGTTTTTGTGACAGCTTTATTGAGATATCATTTTTTTTTTTTAAAAGATGACCGGTAAGGGGATCTTAACCCTTGACTTGGTGTTGTCAGCACTGCACTCACCCAGTGAGCGAACCGGCCATCCCTATATGGGATCCGAACCCGTGGCCTTGGTGTTATCAGCACCACACTCTCCCGAGTGAGCCACAGGCCGGCCCCGAGATATCATTTATATACCATACAATTTACCCATTTAAAGTATAAAATTTATTGTTTTTGGTATATTCACAAAGTTGTGCAACTAACACCTCTATCTCATTTGAGAAATTTTCATAATACCAAAAAGAATCCCATACCCCTTAGTAGTCAGCCCCTCCCCACCATTTTCTTTTTCTCCCTGCCCCCCAACAATCACTAATTTATTTTCTGTCTATGAATTTGCTTCTCTGGACATTCCATCAATGGAATCATACGACATGTGGTCTTTTGTGACTGGCTTCTTTCATGTGGCATAATGTTTTCAAGGCTCATCCATGTTGTAGTGTGTATCAATACTTCATTCCTTTTTACGGCTGAATAATATTCCATGGAATGGACATACCACATTTTATTTACCCATTCATCAGTTGATTGACATATGGGTTGTTTTCACTTTCTGGCTAATATGAATATTACTGCTATGAATATTTGTGTATGAATCAACTGATGAATGGATAAATAAAATGTAGTATATCTCTATCACAGAATAATATTCAGTTGTAAAGATGAATGAAATACTGATATACACAACATGTTTAAACCTTGACAACATGCTATGTTGTCACTTACTGATGATTCCCCAGATATGAAATCACTTATTACATGATTCCACAGATATGAAATGTTGAGAGTGGGCAAATCCATAGAGACAGAAAGTAAATTAGTGGTTGTCAGGGTCTGGGGATAGGGAGGGGAATGGGGAGTGACTGGTTAATGGTGTGGGGTTTCTTTTCGAGGTCATGAAATGTTTGAAAATTTATTGTGTTGATGGTTGAACAACTTTGTGCATATACTAAAAACGATTGAATTTTATACTTTACTGGGTGCATTGTGTTAAAAAAATTCACAATCTCCATCATTAAATATATACCAGTTGCTTACTCTGCATTCAGTACCCTGTGAGGCGTTGTGGCACACAGATAAGAAAGGGAGTACTTGTTCTGTATGCTCTAGGAATTTCTCAATGGACATTCCTAAATGAAAGGATGAAGTGGATGCCCATAAAGAATATAATCAAGATGGTGTATCAGCCTGTGCTAGTTTCTGGGCATAGGGCAGGCCACACTAAGAAAGATCTCAATACCTCTGTTTGTCAGCTATAAGAATTGAGAAAGATTTCAAAAAGTTGATGGCTCTGGTATTTATATAACTTTGACATAATATTATCCATGCTGTACAATATTTTGAGTTCCCTGTGGGCAGGAATTATGTCTTATGTCCGTCTTGATTTCTGTGCTTTGTCCATAGGCAGGACTATGTGCTTGGTGAATGAATGAGTAACGGCTGTTTTGGATGCCTCCTGGTTTGTTCGAGGACAAAAGTGCCTTCCAGCTTGTGGCAGCCTCCTTGACCAGCCTGTGGGTTAGCCGTATGGGGAGGTGTTGCCGAATTCACCAGCTGTCTTCATGCAAGGGCTTCTTTTCTCACAACTGATACTATTTTGTTTCTCTGGTGCTTTCACTCTGATTTGGTTAAAATGGTGACCTGAAGTAAAACGTAGGTGTTTTCCTCTCTGGTAATACGTCCAAGTCTTTGGGTTCCTGGTCAGTGAGATTTAGGAAAACAAAAGGTGGAATAACCCCCCCCCCCCCCCCCATTTATCAAACATCAGTGCTGTAGATTCTACTGTAGCTTATGGGTCTTTGCTGTAATCAGAAAAATTTTTTTCTTTTTATTTCTTCTGTGAAGGTACTTTATGTTGATTAAGTTCTTTCTGTTAAATATCCTTTGCTTGCTCTGGACTTTTCTTTTTGTTGATTTTTTGCTTCTTCTTCTTCTTTTTTTTTTTTCATTTCCCATGCTGTTCAGTTACTGGATGCCAGAAGAACCAAGGTTTGTCCACTCTTTGCAGCTTGTTTGTTTTGCTCTGCATAGTCTCATCTCCTTGTGTGTTTGAGTGTTTGTCTGTGCCTGCATTTATTCCCTTTTGCTTGCAGATGCAGTAATCCTGTTTACTAAACCTGTTCGCAGCTTTATTTGTAAAAAATAAAGTCCTTGTTTGTGTCTACTTGTAGTGGATGCTATTATTTTTATTTTTAAGTGGACATGCATTTATCATGGAAAATAATGGATAGTAGAATAAAGAACATCTTAGGAAACAAGGAATACTGATTCTGGAGCGATGTGGACATAAAGAAGGTGTGTTTTGTGAAGTTTCCCTCTAACCCTTTTCACTTCCTAAATTAAAACTCTGTAGATGTGTAATTTCCCTTGTGATTGACACTAATATACTGTTTCTGTGTATGTGTACATTTCTCTTCTCCTGAGACATTCAGAAAACATCATTGAATTAATCTCCCCTTCTCCATATGCTGTCCCATGCTTCTGAAGTCACCGAGGAGGACTTCAGGGCTGGCCCTCTGAACCTCATGATTAACATTCCATCTTCATGGTTTGGTAGCAGGAAGCAGTGCGTGGCATTTTCATTGACATTTTTTCCTTCTCTCTCCTCTCCTGCTCTGTTTTTCTCATCGCAGCACTTGCAGTTGACAATCCAGGCCCTTCAGGATGAGCTGCGAACCCAGAGAGACCTCAACCACCTCCTGCAGCAAGAGAGTGGTAACCGAGGAGCCGAGCACTTCACCATCGAGCTGACTGAGGAGAACTTCAGGCGGCTCCAAGCCGAGCATGACAGGCAGGCTAAGGAGCTATTCCTTTTGAGGAAGACGTTGGAGGAAATGGAGCTGAGAATCGAAACACAGAAACAGACCCTCAATGCCCGAGATGAGTCCATTAAAAAGCTTCTTGAGATGTTGCAAAGTAAAGGTTTGCCGTCCAAAAGCCTAGAGGATGACAATGAACGAACGCGGCGGATGGCAGAGGCTGAGTCTCAGGTCAGCCACTTGGAAGTGATTTTAGACCAAAAAGAGAAGGAAAACATACATCTTAGAGAGGTAAGAGCATTCACTCTATTTCCCCAAAGCCTTATTTTACAAGTTAAAGTATGTTACCATTATTATATCGTTATCGTTATTTTCACAGGTTGGAACACATCTACAGCCTTAACAAAATTCACTTTGTCATCTGCTTTACATCTCTCCTGTCTGCTTATGACTGTTTAACCGGAATTTTACATTGGTTTTTTTCTCTGCTCACCACACATATATGTTCCATTATTATTTGACACGTATTCAGGATCCAGGCATGTGCAGCACATGTCAACTCTAAGGTGGTTTACAGTTGCTTTCTCACAGGTAGCTATGGTTGCAGGGTCTTTTAAGTACAGTACTGTTTAAGTTAGTTGTTTATCAAATATCATCTCTTTAAAGGAACAAAACAAATATATGATTAGCAACACAATGAACCTAAATATTTTTATAACCGAATTGGGAGTGAGATTTGCAGAAAGTAAATTGTATGGGTGTTTCTGGAAAGAATGGTGAAATGTGAAGAACAATTTTGAGCATTTAGATTTAAGATGATCTTTGCATTTACATTGGTCTAGGACAGAATGTGTAAGGTTTTCTGAGTAGGTGTTTTGCCTTTAGTGGATAAAATCATTTGAAGTCCTTCAGAAGCAGTCTCTCTATCCTGCCATTACTATTGAGTGTTGAGATGCTCAGATATCTGAGAATATGTGGTTGTGTAGAGCTTAGAAAAGATGTAGCTGACAGCCAAAGTTTGAAATTTTTATAGCAGTTCCTTGCCACTGTGGTGGATATGAATCTTAAAAGTACCATGCATGCAAAACTGCTATGGGGAGACATGGATCACACAGAAAATAGCAAACAATAAAATGGCATTAAATATATTTTCATAATATTCTACAGCAATAAATAAAAATTCCAGAAGATATTTGCTTCCAGATCAAATTAGATTTTCTTGGCATTAAATACCTGTTCAAATGGGCAGCACTTCTTTTGAGTGACTTGTCTGATTGGTCAGAAAATATGGCTCTTATGTTGGGATTTGCTAAAATACAGATGCTCCCAGGAGTTTTCTCTGATGTATATTGTATTTGCTTAGAACATTTGAACAGACTTTTGTGTCTTTAAAATGTCCTCTACTCTTATTCTCTCTTGTTTTGTTTTCATGAGACCTTAGTAACATGCTTAGGAAACCACATGGCTTGGTTTCATCTTGAGATGCTTAGAGAGATGTTTTGTTGCAGCTGGTCTTCCTATCCATATTCTTTGAAGGTGAGTGTGATGGGCAGATTATACATATCCTCCCTTTCCCTTGAGTGTTGGCTGATCCTAGAGACTTGCTTCTAAACAGTAGAATACAGCAAAGGTAATGGGATGTCAATGTCACTTCCAGATTAGTTTACATAGGACTGTTACTTCTATCTTGCTAGCAAACTCTGTTGCCTCCTTAGCTTGAATGCTTTGATGAAGCAAGCTGCTATGTGGAGAGGCCCAAGTGGTAAGGAACTGAGGGAAGCCTCTAGCCAACACCCAGTGGGAATGGAGGCACTCAACAGCCACAGAGAACTCAAAACTGCTGTTGACAACTCAGGGAGCCTGGAAGTGGATCCTTCCCC